GTCCAAACATGCAGCGTCCCGCTCGGCCACCACGCTGGGCAAGGCCCTGACGGCAGAGAGCGGGGGCGCAGCCTCCCCCGACGGCTGCGGGGTCCCACGGGCCTCTGTCCGGCCTCCGCCCAGCCGCCTGGTGGGAGGGGGGGTCACACTCAGGGCTGGCCCGTCCCTGGTCAGCACCTCGCGAGCCATGTCTTGCCCCCTTGATTCCCCTCTGTGATTGGGTGGCTGTCGGTCTTGCGAACCGGTTAACTTGCCCCGTCCCGCCTGAGGGAGCCTGCGGGTCCAGCTGACAGGAAGTCAGGCCGTGTCCACTGCAACCTGATTGGGAAAACTGCTCGGGAGGGTGCGGCTGCATTTGTCACTGCTCTGGCTTGGGGGCTAGTGGTGGCACTGTTACCGGTGAGGCTTTGGTGACATCCCGGACGGCCGTCTTGGATGACCCTGCTCTGAGGGCCGGGCGTTGGCCGGGAGCACCCGCGGGTGCCAGGCGGGCCTTGCGTAACCGGGCTGAGGAATGCGCGTGGGAGTCTGGCCGGCGTCCAGCGCCCAGTGAGCATGTCCGGCCGGCGTGCCTCGTCTTGCTGCCTCTGCACTTTGTGCTCGTAGCCGCCGGGCCCCGGGCTGACTGCTGAACAGGGGCGCCTCCCCGAGGAGCCGGGGCACACGGCAGCACCCCGCTTGCTGATCCTCGCCCCTGCGCTGGTGCAAGGTCGGGGCCAAGCCGCACACGGCTCATCTCCTCCTCCGTGCCCTGCTTTGCCGTGGGTCCTGCTGTTGCCCCCACTGCCACCGTGAATTCCGTGTCTCTCCGTGTGCGTGTCCCCTGGCTGCCCACGCATCTCGCTCACCTGGCTGGGTCTCAGGTGCTCCGTGCTCCTGGCACGGAGCAGTGAACGTGCTTCCCTGGACAGCCACTGACTCTCGCGTTTAGAGTCACGAGGCCGAGATTCTCAGGGGTCAGGTCCTCCCGGGACATCATGAGGTGCAGGCCTGGGTGAGGCGGGCCACTTCCAGGTGACGGCTGGGGCCCTTCCTCTATCACACCAGCCCCTGAGGGCCAAATGCACAGCCACCGGGCCCCCAGCAAAGCTGGCTGGAACTGGCTAGAATGGTGACTCCCGGTCGGTGGCGTATAGAGGGGCCTGCGTTTTGCGGGTCTGTTACCCACACAGAAGCTCAGATCAGTTAAGGGAGGGTGGATCTCAATGGGAGCTGCCACCAACCAGGCTGGCCCAGGGGGATGGAGCAGCACCTGGGGACACCTGCGGGCCGGCCTTGACCTGCAGCAGGGGCTTTGGGGCTGGTCCTCAAACCCGGACCCCTTTGTGCAGGTGCTGTTTTCTTTTGCTGATGGAGATTTGAAGCAAAGCTGGGATTTAGCGGGGCTGTTAGCAAGCCAGCTGTCCAAACACTGGGTCGGGACATCCTCTGAGTCAGGATCTGTCACCAAAGACAGCGCCAGCCGGGTGCCCGGTGCAGTGGTCACCAGGGAGAGTGAGGTGCAGGTGGCCACCGTCGGCTCGGGGTCCAGTCCAAGGCGCAGGCCGGTTTGATGCGGCTTCCGGGTGGCCCGTCACACGGGAGGGAGGGCTTGAGCCGGTGCCCGCAGCTCTCTCTGGAGGCCGAAGCCCTTCTTGGTGGCGCAGGGACGTAGGGAAATCACGTGCGTTTGGACCGACGCACCAGGAACACACCGCCGACCTGCGCCTCGTGCTTGTCGCTACGCGATGCTTTCACGCCCACTGTGTGTCCAGAGAAAGCTGCTGTGGGCACCCCCCCCGGCCTGGGGTCCCCAAAGCCCCTGCTGCTGGCCGTGCCCTGGGCCCGCACGCCCGGGGCCTCTGAGGACGGCCAGCAGCGATGCCGCCGCTGCTGTTTCCCGTCCTGCGGAGTCGCTGCTCGAGTCTGAATTGTCTCAAACGCAGACGCTGACGCGGAGGGGCGGGGGCGGGGGGGTCACAGGCCTCCGTCCCGCCCAGCGTGAGAGGCGACCGTCGCTCTGTCGGGAAGGTCACCTCCGCGGCGTGGTCTGACTGCGTGAACACGGCTGCTCCGTGCAGGGTGCCAGGTGGTAGGGCTCCTGCTGGCGGCAGGTGTCGCCTCTCGTCCAGGCGCCTGCAGGACCCCATGCAAGGGAGGTGCCTGCGGTTTCCTTGCCGCCGGTCACTCCCGAGGTGGCGGGAGTTGGGAGGGGTGGCAGCCACCTGGCCAGTGGGGACAGAGGTTGGGCTGAAACGGGGAGGAGATGTGGGCAGGTCTTCAGGTCCCAGCCAGCGTGGCTTGTCGGAACCCATGGAACCCCGGGAGGCTGAGACGATGGAGGCGTCACTCTTCCCTCCGTCCACGCTGGGCCCTGGACTCTCCGCGCAGGTGTGCGGCGGAAAGCCAGGTGTCTTCTGACGGCGGACCCACACGGCCTGGGGAGGGCACCCCATCTCTCGTCCGCACCGTGCCCTGTGCGCGGCATCCTGTGGCTGGGCCCTGCCTGGTGCGTGGAGGACCCCGTCGTGAGTCGGGCTGTGTGACGTCATGAAGCAGGAAGGGAGCCAGCGAGCACCGGGCTCCTGGGGGTGGGGCCAGGGACTCCGCGTGGCGGGCCCAGCAGGAGAGAGCCAGAGCAGGGGGGCTCCCCAGAGACGGCTGGGCTGGGGGCGCCCTGTGGGGCACTTCGCCCCGTGCCTGCGATGCCCGCCTTCTCCCGGGGCCGCCTCCCCGCCACGTCAGCTTCTGGAGCCCTGCTGTGTTTTTCAGAGCTTTCGTTTCTGTCCGCGTTTTATGGTTTTGAGAGCGACACTGGACGAGCAGGGATCTCCCTTTCCTTTCCCCACGTCCAAGGCGCTCGTGAGGAGGGGCAGACAGGAGCCTGGGTTCCTCTGTCCCATGGCGACAAGGGCACGTGGGTGGTGAGGGGCGAGGGGCACTCGGAGGGGAAGGGGCACAGCACGTTCTGGAAGGAACCCCGGGGGCAGGGCTGGTCGGACCCCCGTGGCGTCAGAGACCCGGGCTAGGCAGTGGGAGTTGTCACACTTCTGCAGGACGGTTGTCCCCGGCTGCAGACGCCGTGGACCGGGCCCAAGGCCAGGACGGGGCCTAGATCTGGTGGTGACGGCTCAGCGTGTCTGTTAACAGGACAGCCCCTGACCACGCCCCTGACCCGCTTACTCTTGTCCTTTACTTGTCGGACTGCGTCCTGCTCGACAGCACACTCCTGGGCCTGCCCAGGGCCCTGGACCGCACTTGTTCCCTGGATGACGGCTCCGCGGGTCAGTGGCCGCTTCTCACTGACGCTTGTGAAACACAGAACGTTGTAATCCATCTTTCTCCAGGAAGAGCCTCGTTAGCGGCATGGCTGCCTCTGGAAGCCCCCAGCCTGCAGCGTCCCCTCCCTGCCAGGCATGGGGACACGGGAGCCACCCGCTCCGCTCCATTCGTCTGAGAGCTGAGGCCAGTCCGCTTCTGCCCTGGTCCCTGGGGCCCATGACCATTCCGGGTGTGCAGCCAACCGGGCCGGCCTCTCTCTGTCCCTGTCCCCGTCCCCAGCTCTTGCTGCCCCTGCTCCATCGCTCTGAACTGTAGCACTTGCAAGCCTTTAGCATGCTGCAGCCAGGAATGAGCACCTGCTTCTTTTGTCAAAACAGAAAGGCTACGAGTTCAAACATGGAGAGTTTAGATCAGCGGTCCCCAGCCTTTGTGGCACCAGGGACCGGTGCTCCTGTGAGCACCTGATGCCTGACCACGTGAGGTGGAGCAGAGGTGGCCATGCTGGCGCTGGGGAGCGGCTGCAGATACGGACGAGGCTTCGCTCGCCTCCTGCTGGGAGGCCCGGTTCCCAACAGGTCGTGGACCGGTACCAGTCCACGGCCTGGGGACGGGGATCCCTGGTTTAGATGAAAGAGAAACTCCTTCACAATTGGTTGTCAAAATTTAGGAAAAAGAGGCCGTGGAGCGTCTTTCCGTAGATGACTCCCAGAGGGAGCGTGCCGGTTGGTCCGAGGTCGGGGTGGCCTGCCTGGGCACTAAGGGCAGATGGGCGACGGCGCCGCCCTCCTGTGCACACCTGGCAGGTGTCGCCGTGAGGAGCCGGCTGTCTCTGCAGCTGCCACGTGTCCCCTCACCAGGTGAAGTGCTACCACCAGCCGTGCCACTCGGCCACCCGCACCGTCATCTTCCGGCTGCAGTTCCACACGGGCGCTGTGCAGGGCCACAGCCTCGTGTTCGGGAAGGAGGACTTGGACGGCGCCCGCGAAGGTGACCCCCCGCCGCGGGGGGTGGGGGGCGGGGTGCTGATGCAGGCCTGCGGGCGCCCTCACCGTGTTTCATTCCCTGTTCTCCGGTCACCGCCGCCCACGGGCGTCTCTGCCGCCGGGCGGGCCGTGGGGCTTTTGGTGCTGCCGCCCTGGTCAGCCGTGTCCGTACTGCGGCCGTGCGCCTGGGCTGCTCACCGCCACGCTCGCTGACACACGGCTTCTCTTTCAGACGACCGGTTTCCTGCTAACGGGAGGATCGAGTTGGTGTTCTCGGCCACCCCGGAGAGGATGCAAGGTGGGCAGGGGCCGGGCGCTGGCCTGGCCGGGCGTCGGTGCCGTCTCCCCCGCCTTTGCCCACGTCTGGACGCTCCGTCATAATCGTTTTAGGGTGGCAGGCAGCGGGGAGGCCCGGCCGCGCCCGGGGCCCCCTCCTCCGGGAGGCCGTGGGGGTGTTCACCCCTGCCTCAGCGGTCAGGTGCTTTCCAAGCCGGGCGTCCCGCAGCCCGCAGATGTGTCCGTGCGAGGCGGTCTTCTGAGAATGCACCGCGGAGGCCCATCTCTGACCACGGGCTCCGGTTCCCGTCTGCCCCGAGGCCGCAGTGTGAACGTTTTAATTCAGGGCTTAGTCGCTGTGCAAAGCAGCCTCCCACCTCTGTGCCCAGCAATGGAGATTTGGGTGTGAACGTAAACGCCAGGCTCCTGGGCTCAAATTCCCCCGGGCATCCTCAGGGTGACTGAAGGCGGAGCATGGGCCTGAGCCCGGGCCCCTCCGGCCGTCCGGCCCGAGGACCAGGGCCGGCGTGCGCCTTCCCTTTCCGCCAAGACTTCCTGTTCTTCATTTTGTCCAGTGGCAGGTGCCTAACGCGTGGCCTGGGCGCGGGGCGAACCTCGGTGCCGGCCCTGCACTCGGCCCGGCCCAAAACCGCGTCCCCGTGGGCCCGCGCACGTGCGCGAGGCGCTGGCAGGCTGCACTGAGGCCGTGTCCCCACTCCCACGCAGGCTGTGAGCATCTCCGCAACAACCATGGGGTGAACGTGGACTTCGACGCCGCAGACCCGCTGATCCACTGGGACTCGTACGAGAACCTGGGTGCAGACGGAGAAGGTGCGTGTGGTTGTCTCGTGTAGCTACACGCTGAGATCAGCAGTGTCCCCGCACGGTGCTGGGGGCTGGACATCCACCGTGTCTTTGGAGGGCGGCGCCTGCGCCCTCCTGAGTGTGGGGCGCTGGTGGGACCAGGCGTGGGGCGCTGGGGTCGGCTCTGGCCGCAGTAACGCGGGTGGTCACGTGGGCGCTTCCTTGCCCGATGTCAGACGTCTGCACGTTGGGGGCACAGCTCCTGCCCTCGTCCCTTCCCGCCGACTGCGGCATGGGTGTGTCTGATCGGGGCCGGGCCCGTGGGCAGCGGGCGTTCAGTTTTATCGTGAGCACGTCACCGCCGCCTGGTTTTACGTCTGCAGCGTAACCCGTGTGTTTGCGAGTTCCCCCCACCCAAACGTGTTCTCCGTCGTCACCGGAACACACAGCCGGTGCCTGTAGCGTCCCGAAGGGGGCAGGAGGGACGGGCGGTGTCCGCCAGGTTTACTGAAAGAGGCCCCCGGAGGCTGCGGGCAGAGGGGGCCGCGGACGTCTGCGGGCTGGTGAGCACGTGCACGCGCCTGCTTCGCGTTTCGGCCACCTGCGGGGAGGCCGGCCTGATTTGGGGGAGACGAGCAGAGCACTTTCTGTCAATCAAGTGTCGTCTGGAGTTAAGCAGCTAGAAGCAAGTGTCGCGGAGATCGGAGATAGCGCGCCCGTCTGGGCTGTGGAAGGGCACGTTACCGACTGCATCCCAGGGCCTTGCGTGGAGGGCGCCCCTGGCCTGGGCACCGGAGCCGGTTGCTAAGCGCCGCGTGAGCATTGCCTGGCGGGCTCAGCTCTGCGCTTTCTGCCTGCAGCCCAACTTTCCCCGGTAACTCCATGCGAGCACCTGCCTGCATCTTTAATGCCTAGATCCCTGGCCACCCTCAGAGGAGCCCCCAAAAGCACGCAGTCCATTCGCAGAGCCCCCGTGGGGTCCTGCGTTCTCAGCCTCGCCCCGCCCAAGCCCGCAGACCCTCAGCGTTGCGGGGCCCTGGACCTCCAGACTCGGGAAAGCTCGCCCGGTTCCCTCCCTGGATGACCTCTCCCAGATCCCCTCCTCCCCACCCCCCGCTGCTCAGAGCCTCTCAGACAGTGAGGCCGGTGGGCGTGGCAGACTTTCCCCGAACCCCTTAGCCGTCACCTGGGGACAGCAGTCCCTGGCTCGTGGCCCTGGACCAGAGCGCAGCTGGGCCCCACTCCTGAGAAGGCCGTCCGGGCCGGCAGAGTCCCAGCCGCTCTGCCCCGGGCCAGAAGCTCTGCAGGCACAGGACGGCGTGGCCACCTTGTGCTGCGGCGGGAGCACGGGTAGCATTGCAGTGGGCTCACCCCCGGCCCCCTCAGTGCCTACTGGTGAATGCAGCCCAGCCTCCTGGGCCCAGGCCTGCCCGTTGCCAGACACCCTGCCTCCCTAGGACGGAGGGGGGCCCTGCAGCCACACTCAGCCAGGCCCTTGACCCCTTTCATGTCCCTCGCCGTGGGAACCCCGGCCTTGGGCATCAAGTTCCCTCGGTCCTCCATGGGAGATGGCCCTGCCGGGTCCGTGAGGGCTGCGGGCCCTCCCTGTGCCCTGTGGCCTGCAGGTGGCTTGCCAAGTCTGTCTCAGACATTCTGGCGACCTCGCCAGTAGGAGAAAGGGCTCCGACTAACCGGAGCCAGGAGCCTAAGAGAGGGGGTGATGCACACGCAGGGGGCACCCTTGCCCCACCCCCGCGTCTGGCCTCCAGAGGGCCCGCTGGCATCCGCCCTGCCTCTCCTGTGGTGGGACAAAGGTCCCGTCCTCCCAGGTGACAGGGGCCGCCTTTAGCACACACTCCCTCCTCTAGGTGCCACAGAGTTGACAGACCCAGGGCTGCCCAGAGGGCAGGCACCCCAAGTTCAGGGACAGGAAGTGGAAGGGGACACCACCGGTGGGGAGCGTGGAGGCCTGGGAGATGGCCGGAAGCTGAGCTCCGGGGACCAGCAGCAGCCCAGGGCCCGTGGAGCAGGCCTGGTGCTCGCCTGGGCGTGGCTTCTAGCCGCCGCCCCCGCAGCCTCCAGAGTTCAAATTTCACTGAACCTGACTGCAGGGCCCGCCCTGTGTTTACACTGCTCTGGCCTCTTTGACGCAATCGCAATCGTGCAGAGCCGGCCAGCTAGATCCTCCACCCTCCGCACTGGCTGGGGGGCCAGCCACCGGGGGCTGCTGCTCTGGGCTGAGGGCTGTCCCCCCACAGCACAGCGGGCCCCCCAGGCCTGCACCCACCGGGTCCCTGGGCCGCCCACGAGGAAGGTGAGCAGGGAGCTGCGCGCGCGCGTGTGTGTGTGTGTGTGTGTGCGTGCGCACGTGTGTAGCTTCTGCACAGCTACAAAGAGCTGCAAAGCAGCGGGCCTGAGACCTGCACACCAGACAGAAGGCCCGGGGGCAGGACGTGGCGCCGGGGGCGCTGGGAGTTGTGTGACGCGCAGAACGCCACGTGCGCCGGGCGAGGAGCGCCACGCGGCCGCCAGGGAGACCGTTCGCGGGTCGGAGGGAGGTCGCTGCCGCTTCTTGGGCTCGAATGTTCCACAGTCGGTGTGTCTGAAAGGGACCTGGGCTGCACGGTCAGAGGCTGCCGGCGCGGCTGCCGGGCATGACAGGTGACAGGGGTGTCGGGCAGGAGCGGTGCTGGCTGCGGTCGCGTGTGCACGGGCTGTCGGGCAGCTGCCACGTCCACGACACGCCGGCCACAGCCCCACTCAGGGCCCTGAGGCCTTACCGCCGCGTCCCAGGGCCAGGAGCACCTGGGGCCTCCCGCAGCCTGTCCCCCGCCCCGGGGGAGGCGCGTTGGCCTCTGGTCGGAATGCCTCGTTCTGCCTGTTACCTTTTTCATAATCTGTCTCCCCAAGAATCTGCCTCCTTTCTAGGAAACAGTCTCAGGGAGGTCACCGTGGCAGGCGCGGTGTCCCGGTGCCACCAGCCCCAGGGCTTCTCCCCGCTCCAGGGTCCTCCTGCCTTGTGTTCAGGGGGCAGCTCTGGCTCTGGGGGCTCAGCAGCCGCGTGCCCTCAGGGGAGGGGGCAGTGGAGAGAAGCTGAGTGCTGGCACTGAGGCCTTTCCGGGGATCCCCCGGGAGACACCTTGTCCACAGGCGCTGGCCACGCTTCACGCTCTCCTGGGACTTAGTGGTTATCACCATCTTTTGCTTTTCCTAAAAAAGAAAAAAAAAAGAGGGTACATGTCACCGTCACCTAGTGCCTGGCTTTGTAGATTAAAGGTAACGAGCTCGAGAGCCCAGGTCAGGAGCCCCCGCCTCCGAGCTGCTCCGCAGTGGGAGGAGGCGGAGGCCGCGGCCGGGGGCAGTACCGCAGGGGCGAGCCTTGTTTTGTGGCGCTGACGCTGCCAGTCCAGGTGCCCAGGGGATGGTGACCTGGGCCCAGGCGCCTGAGTCGTGCCGGAGGCGGACTTCACGAACTTTGGGGTAGATTTTTTAAAAAAATCCGTTCTTCATCAGAATTCCTCAAGAACACTCATTAGCGGGGTGCCAGGGGACGCCGCTGTCCCCCAGGCGCTGGGCCCTGGACAGACGCCGATGCCCGGCAGCTCCCGCCCAACAGCCCTGGCCAGGCAACTCTCTACAGAGAAGCAAAGTGGCACCGATCACCCACCCAGGGCCACACAGCTGGGGTCCAGTCAGGACGCGAGCCCAGGCGGGTTCCGCCGGCAAGTGTGGAGGGACGGAAGGCACGGCGGGAAAGTCCAATGAGCTTTGTGTCATAAGAGGCCAAGCCAGCCATCCCAAGGAGAAGGGAGTGGCCACCGGCTCGGGGTCTGGCGAGGGGAGGAAGGCCCTGGGGGGCACAGCAGGGTGGGCCGCGTCCGCCGAGAGTCTCACTTTTGCCACGATGTCGTGATCGTTTTAGGTTGAGGTGTCATCCACATGCAGTGAAATCCAGGGCCGGGCCAGGAGTTTGTTCTTCTGTCTTGAGCCCAGCAGAACCTGCAGACGGAGCCCTCCCCTACACTGGGCGCCCCTGCTGCCCCTTCGCCCTGCCCGGTTCCTGCCCCGCCACCCCCTGGCCCCCCGTGTCAGGCAGGGTATTGGCCTGGAGCTGCTTTCCCGCAGGTGGGGACGCCCCTGTCCCTCCTCCGCCGTCTCCTGGGAGGCTGGGGCTGCAGGACCCCTCCCTGTCTGTGGCGAGCGTGGGGACAGCTGCTGTCCATTGCCTCCACTTCGGGGACATTCCGACCTGGTGAACTGGCTTAGCTGGGTGGCCCAGCGAGTGAGTCATCTGCAGGGTGAGCCACAGAGCGTCCCAGCGGGGTTGCCACGGGGCCGGCAATGACCCACGGTGTCCAGGGGGTTTACCCGTCCCATGCTGGGTCAGGGCGGGCAGGGGCCGGCCTTCACGGGCCCCTGACGCCGGGGGCAGTGGGCGCAGGCCGTGCACGGGAACAGCGCCGGGGCCCACTGACGGTCAGGACAGACACGCACCCCACCGGCGTCCGCTTCAGCCCAGGGCAGGGACAGGAAGCTGCCATCGTCGACCCAGCAGCCACAGAGCATGGGATTCCGCCCGGGACAAGGACGCACTTCAGGAGCCAGGGAGGGAGACGGGGCTTGATTCGTTTCTGAGAGGCGGTCGGTGGGGTGAGTGACAGCTGCGGAGTGTGTCCAGGCAAACGCCTCTCCCAAACCACGTTGCTCATTCCGTGGTTCAGCTTGGAATGCCGGCCGCTCAGAGGAGCAGAGAGCCGGCTGGGCGCGGGGCGGCGGGCGTGCACCGTGGTGTGCCCGGCCGGCTCCCACGCCCCGGACGGCCGCACGGCCTCCCCGCCTCTGCCCTCTCCGCTGAACCGGCTTCCCACCTCCTGCCTCACGGCGCCGCCTGGGGAAGCCAGCGACTCCCACCCCGGGGTGTCACGGTGCTGGTGCCACTTGGGGGAGCCAGCGACTCCCACCCCAGGTGTCACGGTGCCGGTGCCACTTGGGGGAGCCAGCGACTCCTACCCCGGGGTGTCACGGTGCCGGGCCCATGGCAGGTGCTGGAGGGAGGGAGCCTCGTCTTCAGAGCACCAGCCCTCTCATCCTGTTCTCCCACTTTCCACCTCCCCATGGGGTGCCGGGGACGTGCACCTGCCTCCCCTCCCTCTCTCTGCTGTCCCTGTCCCCAAGCTGGCTGTCCCTGGCACGGGCTGAGTAAGCACTGGTGATGGTTCCTGGAGACACGTTTTCTGTTTTCTGCACAGAAGACTTGCGGGGAGTGCACTGTGTCTCCTTCAAAGTGACAAGTTGTTTTTCAAGCAAATCTGTCATCAGGGTAGAACAGAGAGTTCGTGGGGTCAGGATGCAGGAAAGGAAGGTTCCAGATGGCTTGGTAAACCCATGGGATTGTCCCACCTTTGTTGTGAGCTCGTTTTTGTTGGCAGCAGGGCTGAGGGACAGCTGAAGGTGTCATTGGTACCGTTGGTGGCCTAGTGGTTGGCACTTCGAAGGAGCACCTCCCTCTGGCGGTCCTTCACCCACCTGTGCGCACACACCTGTGAGCGCAGGCGGGCGTTGGTGATCCGTGTTCAGTCGTGATGGGAAAGAATATTCTCGTCTTTTTTTTGGCCTTCATTTTTTTAGATTACTTTGGCAGTGTTTCTGAAAGCCTCTCCTCCTCCCTGTGAGAAAGCCCGTTTCAGAAGCAGGGTGGGTGTCAGGAATGGTCACCGGTGGCCAGGGTGGGGGGCCTGTTGCTGCGGTCACTGCCCTTTAATGAGGCGAGACTGTCTTGTGTGTGTTCCTCCCAGCTCTTTCCCAGAAGCTGCCCCTCCTGGTGTGTGGCCAGGGCTGTGTCTGTGTGTCCAGTTGCTCAGTAGCCACAGGGCATCCGGGATCCTCTGGAAGGGGCCTTGGTTCTGGTCGGCGGGAGTGGGCGGGGGAGGGGAAAGGGATGCAGAGGCCACTGGGGAGCGTCCTGTGCCGGGACACAGGCTCTGCCGCCGCGGCCGCCGCTGAGAAGCTGTGGGTATGGGCTGTCGCTTCCCTCTACTTCCCGTCTGGGGATCAGCGTCCCCATCTGCACGGGGAGGATCTGTTCAAACTGCCCCGCGTCCCTTGGAGCCAGAGGCACTTAGTTAAACGTGTCGTCTACGTAAGAGATGCCCGGGCAGATGAGGCTCCGACCCCGCCTTCCAGAGCTCGGTCCTCGTCCGCGCCCGCTGTGCAGCCTGCATCACCCCTGGCCTCACCCTCCCTGCCCCAGGGCGCTGGGGGCTGGGGCAGTGGCAGGGCCGCAGGTGGAGCATGGGCTGTGTCTGTTCTGTGAAATGACTTTCTGCGTCACTCCGACCTGGACCGTCACAGGGGCACGCCGCCACCGGCGAAATGGGGTGTCCCTAAGGGTGTCCCTAGGCCTTGGGGGCCTCACACAGCTCGTGGACTCATGTTGTGTGTTCCAGGGGGTAGGCAGCGTGTGCCCCCCTGCCTGCCGTCACCTGCAGCCTTCACACGGGGCCCGGCACACAGGACAGCAGCCTGGCATGGGCCAGGTCACCCTCCTGCCCGTGGAGGAGCGGCTTGCAGGCGGGGGGCCTGCCCTGGCCGCCCCTGCAGCTGTGCAGCTGTGCGCGTGAGCTAGGGGCGGCCCCCTCAGCTGGCAGCAGGACAGCTGTGTGCCAGGCGTCTGCTTCCCCCGGCCCCCCGCCGTGCGCCCAGACAGCGTGTGCAGACAGCACCGGCCCTGCCCTCCCTGCCCCTGGGACGTCGGCCTGAGCCGTCAGCGAATGCGGGGGACAGCAGCCAGTCCTGAGCCCTCCTCCCTGTCCCGCGGCCGACTTCCCGTCCCTGACCACAGGGCACGGGTGGCGTGGGTCTCCATGGCGTGGGTCTTTGGTGCTCCGTGTGCTAAATGCTCACACTCGAGCCAGCGACCGCCCGGAGGGGACTGCCGTGTTCGACATGCTCATCATTGTTTTAAGGAGCAGGGTCACCCACCGGTCCCCGGCAGGATGCCAGCCTACGCCTGGCGTTCGCGCTGGCCCTCGTGGTGACGGGCACTCTGGGGCCGCGTCCCAGCTAAGTTCAGAGTCCTGTGCAGCTCGCTCTCGGCTTCCGTTGTGGTTCTAAGTTGTCTTGCCAGTTCGAAGAACGTGGAAGTTGTGTGTGCCCGGTCCTTGCCGCATGGATTCTGCCTTCTGCACACGGGCACGTGCGCACACGTGCACACGTGCACACACACATGTGCGTGCTCACACACATGCACACGTGCATACACATGGACGCATACACACATGCGCACACATGTGCACACGTGCACACACGTGTGCCCGCACGCACACAGACACAGCATGTGTACACATGCGCACACATGTGTACACATGCACACACATGTACACGCGGTCACGTTGGGTGGCACCTGCGTGAGCCTTGTAATTCTGAGCCTCGTCCCTGGGTGCCCTGGCGTTGGCTTGTGGAGCTCCAGGCCCTGGTCTTGCTGCCAGGCCGTGCGGTGTCATGGGCGAGCGGCCAGTGCTCCCACACATGCGCACACATGTGCACACGTGCACACACATGTACATGCGGTCACGTTGGGTGGCACCTGCGTGAGCCTCGTAATTCTGAGCCTCGTCCCTGGGTGCCCTGGCGTTGGCTTGTGGAGCTCCAGGCCCTGGTCTTGCTGCCAGGCCGTGCGGTGTCATGGGCGAGCGGCCAGTGCTCCCTGGGCAGGCGGGTGGCAGGCGCAGGGCTTTGGGCTCCCAGCAGCTCCTGGCCTCGGGCAAGTGGCCGACCATCCAGGAACCACCTTCACCTGTGAGACGGGACAGCCCTGCCTGCCATGTGGGTCGTGCCCTGACTGCTGGAGGAAACGTGCCAGGTGCCTGCCCTGCAGGGGTGTCCAGCGACGCCAGCTGTCACCGACACGCTGCCGCTGTCACTCGAGGCTGAACTCAGCACCTGCCCTTACTTAGAAGCTGGTCACAGCTGTCTGGCTCCCGTGATCTGTGGGTCCTTCGTCCCCAGCCCTCCCGCCGGGTTCAGCTGCAGGGCGAGGGAAGCTGGGGTTCCAGGCCCGCTGTACCCCGAACTGCCACCCCATCGCTTTCCCCTGCTTCCTCGGGCGCATTTGCAGTAAGAAGCTGGGGTCACGTGTGCTCACGGCACAGAACCCCAGGTGCCCCCCGGTCTCTGTCCTGAAAGTCGCAGGAGCCGCCGACCACAGCCCGGCAGCCAGTGTACCAGCTCGCTCCTGGGCAGCTCCAGGCCCAATGCCAGGACACGGTTGCCCTGAGGCCCCAAGAGCGTGGGCTACGCCTTCCACAGGCCCCTGTACTGGTCACCCGGGAGGACAGAGAGGAGGGAGGTGCTGACGGCCAGCTTCCGGGGCTGCTGGGAGCCTCCCCAGCAACCCCAGGACCCAGGCCGTGGGCACCTGCCCGTCCACAGTGGGCAGCCATGACGATGACAGTAGTAGAGGCCCCCACTTCCTGCCCACGTCCGAGGTCTCATTTTCGTGTGCGTGACCGTCCTGGGGTGTGGGAATCAGCGAATGTCCCCGAGTCCTGCACAGTCATTGGGACCCCCCCTCGGTGCAAGGGTGCCGTACCATGGGAGGCCCGAGGCCAGTGCCCGCCCTGCCTGTCCAGCGCGTGACGTGCTTAGGGCTTAGCGGGTCTGAGTGTGGCGGGGACGGCGGGCTCGGGGAGCAGATGTTCTGGCTGACGAGGATGTGGCGCGTGGCCCGAGCCTGAGCAGAGGCTTGGGAGGCGCTGACAGGTGTGTGCAGGACGGCTTTCAGGCGCCCGGTCCGTTCTTGACCAGTGGGGATTTTTGAGCTGAGCTGAGCTGAGCTCGGCGTTCAAACCGAGGGTGAAAGTAACAGTGAGCCGTCAGGGCGAGTGGCTCCACGGGGGACCCCGGGGTTCCCCAGGTGACCCCAGGTGACCAGCCCTGAGCCCTGGGCAGGATGTGCAGAGCTGGCCGCCGCCGACTGCAGACGCTTCCTGTTGGCGCTCGCGTGCAGAGCGGGGGGCCCGGGCGCCTGACCCGGTTAAGGCTCCGCCGGGACCTGCTCTGCGGGCTGGAGGTACGCCGGTCAGAGCCCCCCTCACTGACAGCCGTCCGCTCTCTCCCACAGTGCTGCACACGCAGGGCCCCGTCGACGGCAGCCTGTACGCCAGGGTGAGGAAGAAGAGCACCCCGGACCCCGGCGTGCCCGGGGGGGCCCCGGCCGGCCCCGCCGCCAGCAGCCCGGACCCCGGCGACCACACCCTGTCCGTCAGCAGCGACTCGGGACGCTCCACCGCCTCGGCGCGGACAGACAGGACCGAGGAGCCCCTGGCCCCAGCGCCCCGGAGGGGCCTGAGCCCCCAGGAGAAGGCCGAGTTGGATCAGCTGCTCAGCGGCTTTGGCCTGGAAGATTCCGGAAGCCCCCGCGAGGACATGACTGACGGGCGCAGCAAGTGCGGAGGGACGCGCCACGTCGTGCCGGCCCAGGTCCACGTGAACGGGGCTCCGAAGGACCGGGAGACAGACATCCTGGACGACGAGGTGCCCGGCCACGGCCTGCACAGCGCGGACAGCCTCGGGGCGCTGTCCCCCGACGGGCACCCCGCGGCCGGCCTGGGCGCCTTCGCCTGCCCCCAGAGCAGCCCCCACGGGCTCCTGTGCGGCGGCTTCGGTGGCGGTGCTGGGGAGGACCCGCACGGCCCGGAGCCCCTGTGTGAGCGGCAGCAGGCGTTCGGTGGCCACGGGCCCAAGCCGCCGCCGCCCACGCTGGGGGTGCCCCGCGTGCCCCCCGCGGCCCTGGCCTTCGAGCCGGGCGGCTACTCCACACAGACCTGGGTGCGCCAGCAGCAGATGGTGGCCGCCCGCCAGTACAGCTTCGGCCCCGACGGGGAGGCCGGGCTGGTCTGCCGCGGCCCCATGGACAGTCCCCGACGGGCACAGGCCCCGCCCACGGTCCCCGTCAGCAGCTGGGGGGCAACCCAGAGGGGCGCAGGCCCGGGGCCACAGCCCCCCGACACGCAGCGGCCTCCTCTCAGCAAGGCGGCCCGAGCCAGGTCCCTGGACGTGATAGCCGTGAACGGGACGGGCCCAGTGCCCAGCGCCGACCCCTCCCCAGGCTCGCCCACCTCGGACATCGACCAGTCCATCGAGCAGCTCAACAGGCTCATCCTGGAGCTGGACCCCACCTTCCAGCCCCTCCCCACCCACGTGGACATGCTGGGCCCCAAGGCCAGCAGCCCCACGCGGCAAGGTGAGCCGACATTTCGGGGTGTGTGCTCAGCAGCATCAGGATTGAGGGGGAGCGGAGAGGACCGTGGGCCCCTGGCACAGCCTCGTGGGGACAGGGAGGTCACGGCACAGTCTTGCTGTGTAGATACCCCTGGGCGCCGTGCCGGGAGGGGTCGAGGGCAGGGGTGGAGCCGAGGCCGGTAGGCACAGCGGGGTGCAGGCCTGGGGGGCGCCCGGTGTGCTCCCCTGCAGCGGGGGCTCAGCTGGCTCAAGCAGGCTGGGGCTGCACCAGTGCTCAGCCTGGGACGTGGCAGCATGGGGACCGCGCCCGCACCTTCCTGCTCCGCCCCCGAAGGCCGGGGCGGCTGTCGTGGACGGGCAGTGGCCTGTGGGTGTAGGGCTGCGTGACAGGGGCACACGTAGGGGTGGGTCTGACATGCTGGGAGGCGTCAGCTGCGGGACCCGCAGAGCTGGCTGGGCTGGCCTGGGAGGGGGCCCAGGAGGCAGAGGGCGCTCTGACAGAGTGGGGACCTTGGGCGAGGGGTGGTGTGTGGAGGCTGCGGTGAGAACTTTGCATCCGGAAGCTTCCACGCAGAAGACGGGGCCGGGCAGGCATCCGAGGCCACTGCGGCCTGCCGAGGTGAGTGTGGGACCCAGCACTGATCGGGCAGACACCTGGACGCAGACCCCACGACCGAGCTGGCGGGGACTGCAGCGGCCACGCCCTCCAGCGTCTGCCTGTGCTGTGCCTGGGCCACCAGCTGGCACCCGGCGCCCTGTCTCTAAATGTCAAGACTGGAGGACGGTGAAGCAGGGACCCTGACACTTCGTCCCTGTTCCTGGTCTGAGCCATGGGCCGGGTGTCAGCTGAGCCGGTGTGACAGCCGGCAGGACAGCCGTTCGTGGGGGCCCTGCATCTTCCCGAGGCCCCGAGGCTGCGGCCGAGCCTGCCTTGCAGCGGAGCCTCTGGAGGTGCTGCCGGCAGCCGGGCTCACGTTGCACTGTGGCGTCAGGCGCTCGGCCCCCGGACCCCCCCCGGGAGGTCTGAGCGGCTTGGAGGGGAGAGCCAGCAGCCAGAGCAGCAGACAGAAGCGGTTTCCTCAGTGAAGCAGCCAGCGGGCCGCACACGCGCAGGAAGCCCAGGCGGGCACCTCCAGGGAGCGTGGAGGCCCGGAGAAGTTGAGGGCGGGGCTTGTGTGGCCGTGGGTCCCCTTGTTCCCTGTCCGTCCCTCCCTCAGGCCGTCCTGCACAGTGTCTGCCCACAGACGGGGAGCCACATAACCCGCTTGGGGATGTTGTGGGCGGGCATGTGCCCAGCTCGGGCCTTCTGCCCTGCCGCTGGTGAGGGGGCCATGAGCCTCCCGGGCCCATATCCTGACACTGGGTCTGGGGGTGCAGCTGTTAGGATCGGGGTGCGGGGCGTCAGGAGGGGCGGAACCATCCCAGAGGGTCCCTGCCTCTCCTGCCACTTGGACCAAGTCTGGCTCTCGCTAGATTGTCACTGGCTGTGTGGCACGGAGGGCCATGCCCAGCCTGGACTCTGCCCGGGGCCGGCCGAGGGCGCCTGCAAGGTGGAGAGGTAGGTCGCCCAAGGGGGTCACGCGCCTCTCATCACTGGACAGAGCGACTGAGCGTCCTCCCTGTCGAGAGTTGTCATTGTTCCTCAACGGGCAGCTTTCGAAACCCACAAAGTGTTCTCGAGTGTCTGTGGGAGCGGGGAGCCGACGAGGGAGTCGGGGGCTCATGTGGCACCTGTGTCGCAGCCACGGACTCGTCTGGGACCGTCGGTCCTTGGCGAGCCACCCGCGTCAGTAATTCAGACCCACTTCTGAGTCCACAGTCACTGCTCTCAGGGTCCCAGGGACCAGGTGCCCGTAGTGTAGCTCTGCACTGTGGGGGCTGCTGCCCCATCCACCCCCCCCAGCCCGAGGACACCCCGCCGGGCTGTGTGTCCACCTGCAGACGCCCTGTGCGTCCCCTCGGCAGAGGCACCGTCCGGCACCGCAGTGTGCGGCGAGCAAGCCCGGCCCCTCCCGTCCGCGGACCGGGGTGGGGCGCGTGTGCACCTCGCACGCGGGGCAAAGACGGGCGGCTACGGCTTGCACACCGGGCCGCAGGGCATCTGAGTGGCCGGGCACGCGCTCGCGGCTCGAGCAGGGCTTCGTGTCTGAGGACTTGGTTCCTCGCTGGCGGTCACAGAGCAGAGTGCCAGCCTCTGGCCCCGAGGGTGACCGCTGACGTCCTGAGGAGGGACAGGAGTGACAGGACTCAGACCTCAGAGTCCCAGGCACCGTCAGGGGACAAGCTGGGCTATTTCTCTTTCTCATGTAACCGCCGAGAGTCTTCCCTGGGCCCACGGCGGGCACGGGGCCAGTCCACCCTGGGGCAGCGTCCTCTGTCCTGGTGTTCCTCAAGCCCCTGCCTGTGCGGGTGGCGTCCCCCACACCGGGACCCAGGTGGGCAGAGCCCCGCCCTGGCCGGCACTGGGGCTGGGGGCAGGGACCGGACAGAGATCAGCTCAGACCGTAACGGGACGAGCCTAACAAGCGTGAGCCTGGCGGGTGACAGACCCCGGAGGGCACACGTCCCGCGAGTCCACCCACAGGACACGTCCGGACGTGGGTTCCGGCTGCCGGGGGCTGGGGCTGGGGTTTCCTCGGGGGGTGGAGCCGACGTCCTGGAAGTGGGAACGACTGAGGACTTTCGGAGTCGAGGCCACAGAGCACCTGCAGCCCACGTGTCTCTCGCAGGCTCCTCAGGTGACGAGCCGCTGGTCAGAAGTTTCCGGAAGCTGAGCCTGGGGCAGTACGACAACGATGCAGGGGGCCCACCTGCCTTCCCCAGGTGCGGGTGGGGGCAGGCTCCCGGCGTGGAGCAGGCCCCGGGCCTGGCGGCTTCCCTCTCCCCAGCAGACGCCAAAGAGGTACGGCCACCGCCCTGAGGCCTGACCCCAGCCCTGTCCCCAGCTGCAGTCCCCTCATCTACCCCCCGCCCCTGGCTCACGGGTGCGGTTCCTCCCAGAAAAGCATGTGTGGGGGGGGACTCTCCGGTCACGCGGCTGCCTGAGCCTCTGCTCTGACCCATTGCGTGGGGCTGCGGGTCGCTGGGGCTCAGTGGGTGGACAGCAGCAGCAGAGGGCAGGCAGACGTCTCATCCAGACCCCTGGGGTCCCCGTGGGAAGCGGGACGGTCAGCGTGGATGCGCCGCCCTGCAGGACGTGCCAGCATCTTCCGGGAGCCGTGGTGAAGGCTTTTTGGACCAGAGCTGCAGTGAGGCGGGCCCCAGACGAGGAGGCCTCTGGAGTCAGGGTTTTATTTGTTCCTGAGGTGGCAAAGCTGGACCAGCACAGGCAGGAAGGGTCACTCGGGGTCTCGATGCAGTGTGGAGGTTCAGGAGTCATCCTGCCTGCCTGCTGCGCCCGAGTGCCTGGTCACGGTGTGTGCGTGAGCAGCTGTGACGGTGGCCGTTGTCACTGAAGGCCGCAGCGTCCTCCCCATGCCCCGTGCAGGCTGCCAGCCCACCCATCAGCGGTCGTGGCGCTTTGTCCAGGTCACCTGGCTGGGAGCAGGACTGGTGGCCGTGCTGTGGGCAGGCACCGGGCTCCCTGTCCCCACGTCCAGACGCGGCTGACTCTGGGGCCGGCCGGGGCCCCGCTGTCTGGAGCGGCCTTGCCCTGACCACCCCCCACCCCCCACGTGTCTCTTCTAGATGGTGCTCGCCCCGCACCCCGCAGACTTGGACGGGGTCGACGGCAGGATCTTCTCCCCGCGCAGGAGCGGCCGTGAGCCGCTGGCCTCCGCCCGGGCATCCCCCGTGTCACCAGCAACGCCGTACGGTAAGGAGGACGCGGAACTCGCCGTGGGCGTCCCCGCCTCCCGCAGCGAGGGCCCGGAGCGGCCCCTCACCGCCTTTCTCTCGCAGTGACCACGCCCCCGCGTCACCTCCCGTCCAGCCCGCCCGGGCCGCAGGTGGGCAGTGCCGGCCGCCTGTACAATGCGGCTCACGGTAAGAACCCGCCCCCTGCGTCCGCTCTGGGTGTCCTCCTGTGTGGAGACACGTCCTCATCCGTGAGGGTGGCCGTCGCCAGGGACGGAGCGGGGATAGAGCCGCTGGGTCGGCGTTGGCCTTGACCCTCGGCCTGGCATCAGCTGGGCCCCGCGTCTGCCGAGCGGCGTTTGCGGGAAGGGCCACGGTGGTCTCAGCAGCCGAGCGTCGGTGCTTTACGGCCCCGTGAAGCTTTACTTAGAGTTGAAAGAAGACACTGGACCCGCCCTGTAGACACTGGACTCGCGGCCCACAGTGGTGGTGGGGACCGCCAGCTCCGTTTCCCTCCGTCTCCGGGGAGACCAGGGCCCCGCGTCCTAACGGACGGGCCGTCCTCCTCCAACGTCCTCGTGGGCGCGGCCCGCAGCCTTCCCTTCGAGCTCAGAGCCTGCTTAGCGGGCCGGACGGACGTGTAGGGTGGGGAAACCGTGCCGGCGTCACTGCATCCGCCCGTGTGTCACGAGAACCGGGCGTGACACGGTCCAGCGCCGTCGGGCACAGACTCAGCAGACGCGGCCAGGGCTCCGTTCCTCTGCTTTAATCATTCGGATGGAAGCAGACAATGGGACTCTGCCCCGCCCGCCCAGCCGGCCACCACGATGGCGGGTGCGGACGAGAACCGGCCCTCCGGCGGGTCGATCTGGTCCGAACACACCGGGGCCGGGCTCCTTGGAGACCCCAGTGCGGGAGGGGGCGGGAGGCTCCGTCGCACGCACACCTGTGCACACGTGCACAGCAGTTTCGTTTTCAACAGGCAAAGACAGTGAAGAACTGCGGACTTTTAGCCTTTACGAACGTAGATGTGAAGATCACGTTCGGTCACACAGGGAAAGGACCCGGTGTCATGGCCGAGGGGGTTTACCCCAGGGCACGATGCAGGTGTGACAGCTGAACCCCGTCACCCCGTCGACATGGTGCCAAGGACAGTTACACGAGCATTTCCTAGATGCAAAACAAAGCATTTGCAGAATCCACACTCGCTCACAGGGGACGTCCCAGCAGTGGGAGCAGAGGGGACCGTCCTCGACCTAATGGCACTGGAGGCTCCGCAGGGCCGGCCGGGAGCTGGTCTCAGAGCCGCGGGGGTGACGCCTTCCGGGAGGGCGAGAGCAAAGGGGGTCCAGGGGGAGGGAGGGGGCGGAGATCACTTTGGGGTGATGCTTTAGTTTTGCTTTTTATCCTGAAGGGGGCAGTCTTTGAAGCGTGACGCGTCGCACGGTGCAGGCCGGGCCTCCGCTTCTCGTACCCGACTCGTTTCCCTTTTGAAATTTCACGAACGTCTAACGAGAGCGTTTAGAACAGTAATCAAAGCCCGTTTGTGCAGGGCGTGACGCGCGTGATGTGCGTGACATTCACAGAGCCTTGGCAGGTTCACGTGGGCAGACCCGAGAGGCAGGCCTCTTGACGTGTGTTCCAGAGGGTCCATGTGCGTGTGGCACGCGGTGTCTGTGACATGCACGGGACAGCCATGTCCCTGCGCTGCTCTGCACGCCGACCTGTGCCCTGCGGTGGCTGGCGCCCCCGGCCACGGGTGTGGAGCGGTGACTGCTGCACCCCACCCCAGAGCAGGGACGAGCACGAGTTTGCTGAGAAGTGCCGGGTGGGCGGGCGCGGCCGGCCAGGATGAGGCGTCTGCCGCGCTGGCCGACGCCTCGCGCACGGGGCCGCCGTGAACCCGCCCTCGGCTCGCTTCGGTGCACAGGCCTCCTGCTTCTCTCGTGTGTTCAGCAGCTCGTTTCACCCCCCTCTGGTGGACCGTCCCGAACGTGAGCGTGGGGACATTCTGGTGTGCTGCCAGGCGTCCGCTCTCATCCTGGCTCCAGGTCCCGTGGGTGGCGGGGTGGACCCCGGGCCCCGG